TGTCCAAGTGTGGAGTGTGGGGTAGACAGCAGGCAGAGCAGTCCCTGGGTCCAAAAGGCCTCCTAGGGAACTGGACCAGAATGAACAGAAACTCAAAGAAAAAAGTCAAGGGCAGCTCTTCCCACAGCAGTGGCTGGCAGTCTCCCCGCTGCCATTGCTACCAGGATGCCTGGAGGCTGAGGTCATAGGAAGGTCACTTTTGCTTGAGGGTGGCACAGTGATTTTTTCTGGCAGAACTGGAAGAGAATTTGAGCTTTAAGGAATCTTACTTTATTCAGGATACCCAGAGTCTAAAAGAGTACCCAAGAACCTCGGAATGAGAATCTTGCAATCTGGGTTCTTATCTCTTAACAGTTTCATTTTCTTCATGAGACGCTGTATTTCTTAGGGATCCTAGGGCTCTGGAAAAGCTAGGGAGGGGGTTAATCCATCTCTAAACATGATTCTGGTGGGATCCTGTGAACTGCATGCTCCAGTCGCAAATTGGTAAACACGCTTCCTATTAATGTGACACGAATTCATACAGAATAATGACATTTAACTTTAAAGATCTAATTTAACTTTAAAGATCAATACAATGCTCTGACATTGCTATAAAGAGGAAATGAGGAAATGCATTGAAAGGGTCTCAGTAGCTAAGTCGTGCACGTGGCTCCCGAGGAAGGCGCTACCTGCCAGCTCCTCTGTGAACGCACCACCCTCACACAGCCCAAGGCACCGAGGCAAGTGCGGCCCTGTGGGGTCTACATGGGTCCCCCCTGGGAAGGATGCCCTGAGTGTAGGGTCCCTGGCTCCCACCATTAACCATCACTGGTGTGACTCCTCCAACCTCCCTTGGTCCCTTGGGTGCCTCCAGAGATGCCTTTTTCTGTGGATTAACTCAGATCCTCATGATAACCTGATCCCATGATCATCCCTGTCCTACACCTGAGAAAACAGCTCAGGGAACTTCAGTCTCCAACCAGAGATGCTCAGTGAGTGAGGGCTGAGCCTCAAATGCACAGGGCCTAGGGCTTCCATTCCTGAGAAACAGTCTTCGGAGAAAACCAGATCAGCACGACCGCTTACCTCCAGTCTGCTGGTGAGGAGAGGGACCTCCAAGACCTGTCATGAGCTGTCCTGGCAGGT